AAAATTTCAAGATTATAATTATTTGGAAATATTAATAACTCACCTTTTTTGTATTAGAAATAGTGCTAAATATAATATACATATTGGGACATATAAAAATTTAGGTTTTTATGTTGAAAAAAAAAATCCCTGAAAATTTGAGACCTCAATTTTGCTTTCTCTTCGATTTTTCACGTTTGTTTGAACTGCCGTTCTTATCGAAAAACTTTCTAAGGGAAAGTTAAGAAAATTATATTTAAAAAATTTCATTAATTCCTTAAGTTTTTCATTTTTAAGTCGCTTATATCTCTGCAGCAATACACTTTTATGACATCAGCGTTCAGGCCTTTTTTGTTGGAAATTTAATGAAAGAAAAATCGAAAAGTAGTTAAAGTCAAAATTAGGGATTTTTTTTCAACATTAAAAATCAAATTTTCATGTTTACTGTAAGATGTGTACTAACGAAATAAATACATTAGAGCTTTGCAATAACACTTGTACACTGTTTGCGTTCTTATATCTAAAACTTATATTTGTGTTTGATTGTGTTTTTCAGGATTCGAATAGCACGGGCCAACGGCAGCAAACAAGTAGCCAATCGAAATCGGCTGCTAAGCAAGGCTACTCGCCTTCTTATTGGACCGGGCAAAACTGAACGTAAAGAGGAAACCCTAAACTCACGCATTAACGTATGCATACATGTTTACGATTGTAGTATATGAAATTCGATTCCGATTAATTAACATCATCCAATCAGCTCTAAAAATCGGTTCCCAATGCATGCTACCGCGTGTCCACAACCACATACATTACACATTAATTTTTCATATTGTCTGTCTGACTATCCTATTATTTTTTACACATTTGTATGTATTTATACTTATGTACAAATATATTAGTATAAATAGAAGATAAACGCATAATATTGAGGATTCAAATTTTGTATGTTCCACTCCTACGTTGTAGCGAAGTTCCCTCTTTAAGATCGATCCATTTATTCAAATTGTACTTTACTAAGACACAAAAAAAAAAACGTATGCCCAAAACCCATTACCCCACAAACCCACATTCATACTCGTACATCTGTAATTCACTCTCATACACACGAATAAATTATAAAACTGAAAGAAGTAAAGAAAAAATAACACATAGGTGTAGAATGCTATTACGAAGCAAAGAGAGTGTTTAATAAGTAATACACAGCAGTGGAAAAAAGGCCACACACACACACACGGCACAGTTGAAAGGAAATAACAAAAAATAAATAAAAATTTAAATATTGTAATCGGTTTAAACTATATGTATAATTATATAATAACCTTAATATTTAAATTAAATACAAAATACGATTAAATCCAAAATAAACACAACAAACGCATAGTTCATACGCATGCGCGGTGAAGTCGAAATTTAAAATTTGGTTGTTTTTATCTTTAAAGTCAACAATACAAGTTTTTAGGAATAAACCTGAGGTGGCAGTCACTGATTGGTGGTATGTACGGGGTGTTCGAGGCAAGGCATTATATTGGACGTAAATTGTTGCATTGTAAATATCAGTTGAGAAACCCAACGGTGGGGCAGTTATTTGCTAACTGAACATCGCCCATAAATGTAAAGTTACAAATTACCCTGTCTGCTAAACTATTGTAGTAGTCGCCGTGGAATGGATGGTTTTCTACTACTTTACGACCCGAAAAAAATATTATTTTCGCACTATTTACTATAAAATAAATGGTTAGAATCGAATTAGCAAAGTGTTAGTGGATATAAAAGTTAAAAAAATTCTAAGTAGTTGAATTTATGAACTTAAAATGCAAATATCTCAAAAACCAGATCTTCTTGATCAGGTGAACCTCTTCTATCCGTACATACCCATTTTAACACCGCAATCAGGGGGATGCTATTCTAAAATTTAACCCACAAAACTTAAAGAAACAATGCAATTTTACGATTTTTTATATCTATACTTTTATTACCATATGTGTACAATATTTATTTTTAAATTCTGTTAAAGTGCTGCTTAATGAATATGTAAGCAAACTAGTTTTGAATCATTTGCTCACAAAATAAGATTTATTTTTATAACGGCTATGAGATTAACTTTTGCAATTATCAATTTCGTTTCTGCGTAGTTTTTCAAAGTACTTTGTTAACATACGAATTAGCTATTGACTATGCAATAATTTAGTAAAATCAGCGTAAGCCGATTCCAAATCAAATAGAAATTGGCGAACCTGTGATTCTGACAATTCATCAGAGGCCTGCATGTCATTTAAAGTGCTAAGCCAAGTTTCAACTTTTTGTTTGGCCTCAAAATCCTTCGGAATCAATGAAAGTCGGTTCATATTATCAGCCAAGTCTTTTACGTCCGGCTGCAAAGCATCCATTGTATTCATTTTTAGTCGTAATTTGTCCATGATGGTTATGAATAATGAAACTATTTCTGCTATGCATTTGGATGTATTTCCTTTATCGTCTTTAATTGTTATAGGTCTATCTTCTCGTATTCGTTCCAGAGCTGCAGGGCAGTCTAATCGGAACTTTTTTACAAATGTATCTACACTGGGATATTCATCACATTGAACTTGCTTGAAAGCAACTTTGTACTGCACTAAGTATTTGGAACAGGCGGCCGTATACTCCTGTGGGGTGATGCAGTCACGGATGTACGCCTTTTCGAGTTGTTGAAGAGTATTTATGATTGCGTACAAATCAGCCATATTGTCAAATTTCTCTCGTTCCCGTGCATTCCGATAGAGTTTCACCTCTTCGTACAATTCAGGACAATTTTCTTGCATTATTCTGCTGTCGAAAGTATCTCAGTGGCGCTAATTATTTTTCCAGAACAAAGAAATAACAATAGTAACAGATGACGAATTCTTTTATGTTGACATTATTAATATGACACATTAAACAAGTGGTGGAAATAAATCATGGTGTATTTACAATTTCACCTAATATTGGACAGGTTGCATTTTCTTTGGTAATATATTTTCTGTTTTTATTTAATGTGGTTTAGACTAGACATTTCCACCACCAATAGGTTTACATATATATATATATGTTTTCGTTTCCGAGCAATTCAAATTGTATAATTAAAAATAAAATATAAAATAAAACCAGACCTGCCACCTAATCCAGGATATTATGCGACTTCCGTGCCCGTCTTATAATTCGGTTGTAATCGAACGGAGCCTTCCCAACACCAGACTGAATTAGGAATTTCGCATTCCGGGGGACCGTGGAGGTCCTCTGTTGGCCACTCGAGGTGGGTGGCGGCGCAGCGCGCGAACTATGTGCTGGTTGCACAGACGTAGAGGCTAGCGTCGCAGTACTGCGTAAGCAACAAGGGGCCACGTAACGTGTGGTCCACTCCCTATGGGTCTTAAGATGGCTCATCCATTGCATGTGTTGCACCTGACCGGGGTGGAGTTTGGATGGAGCCTTTTCGCGCAAACGCAGCTGAAGAATTCCTCCGGGCCCGGGTTGGACACAATGCCAGCACGAGTCAGGAGGATACGGAGCAACCCTGCTGCAAGGCGTTGCTCCAGTGACGACACTCACAGATTAACACTCATCGATCCAAACGGGGTTAGATCGCCTTCTGGATATTGTAGCAGGTTAAACTCCTACCTATCCAGAATAGACTCAGACATACCCAATGTATGTCCTGCATGCAACGAGTCTCCGCATGACACTGACCACCTCTTTGCATGCCCAACCAACCCCACCCGTCTAAYACCCTTTTCCCTCTGGTCCGATCCCGTCGAAACAGCACGTTTCCTGGGCCTCCCGTTAGATGACATCGACGAAAACACAGATGGCTATCACTATCCCAACGGGGACTGATAACCGTTAAACAACAACAACAACAACAACAGGTATTTCGCCTTATGGAGCTGTGGCGCGGAGGACCTTTTGCAGTATATCGGACTTTATCAATATACTTTGGGTAGGTGTCTATGCGATTTAGGAGTGGGCACAATAGAATTAAGGTCGCGGTGCATTCCACGTTTATCAATCTAATCTAAATATTATCCGTTATTATTGTGCGTTTAAACAATACAAATACGGAGTGTAGGGGTAGTCGAATGAAGAGTTTAGTATTTTTTTCAATGAGGTGCATGGGCCCGAATAAGTGCTTCTGATTTCTATTATTTTAGAAATCCTAGAGCTTTACACTTCTTAATATACACATTCCTTCCCTTGGGGCCAATAGTTATCAAAATTTACGTAGATCAGCAAATATATGAAAACCGCAATAAATGAATAATCATATTTCCGATAACAATTCGAGGGGGTATATGGTTTATTTCAACAATCACTTAAAATTAATGCTCGGTCATCATGTAGTTAGATAATGTTTAATGTTATTATTCATATTTACTATATTTTAGGTGGTCTATGATGAAGTACCTCTATATTAGAAAGGCTCAATATAGTTAAATGAAGAAATACAGCAAATTAGTGGGGTGGGCATTCATACAGGTAACTGATGGACTATACTGTTTAAATATGGTTTGTATATTAATATGTTATTGAATAATAAAGAATTCCATGTAGTATGAAATTGATAACGATTTCTTAGATAAGTTTGACTGTCGTGTGGATATGGATTTAAACTGTTTTTAATACTATTCTATGTTTTTAACAATAGTCTTCGCCATCGGTAGTTCTGAAGAGCACACAAATAGCTTCAGTTAACAAACAATGGTCTCCAATATATACAATAAGCCAGATGTTAAGATAATAACCTTAAGGTTATTAGCATAATTAGTTTATTAAAGTACACGCGAAATATAATATATGGATATTATCGCTTTACAAATACTCAAACAGTATAAACTAGAATTTCATTAAACAATATACCATAGCATGCACTATCTAAATATGAGCAATAATTTTTAAGCATTTAAATAAATGCAATCTTTTAATATATATTTCGTATTTAATTAAGCATATAAGTTTATTTTTTTACTTTTAAAAATATTTAATACAGTATTTTTCTTTTGAAACCTAAAATTATTTGTTTCATCGCTACAATTACGATCAATATATTTTAGAAGCCAACTATATTTTTCTTTCAAAATATAGGAGCTTGGTCAACCAAGCGATAGCCTTGGCCAGAATATATTTTAGGTGGGTAAACCACAAATAGACAAAGTTGCAGCATTGAAAGTAAACATCCAAAAAAATTTGGTATCTGTTAATAAGAAATAAGATAATTATATTACGTGCATATATTTTTCAAACAAATTCCAATTGTAAAAAATCAAACCTGTATAAAAGTGTCTGATATGACGACACCGTATACGACCCACTGAATGGACACTAGAAATGTCATTACAATCAGTGCAAAGGGTAAACTTTCTGAATTCTTTACACGTATCACATGAATTAGCATTGTTAGAGGAGCTGCAAAAAAACACACTGTGACAATACTGCAGACCAGACCTAAAAAAAGTAACTTTATTATTTGCATTGCTAAATGTATATAGACACTTTTGAATCGTACCCATAATACGAACTTTTTCCGCTTCGATTTCAACCAAATTAGTATAGTACCAAACACTAAACAAAATACATAATACAATGCCAAATTGTCGAATATAGGACTTTTTGTTTACTGAGAAAATATAGTATATCATTGTGTAGCACAGGAAAAGGAAGGACCCAATTATATTGACTAATATAACGCTGCGTTCATCAGTGAGCATACCATATCGAAGCCAAAACGAAGTGCTATATAAGTTAAAAATATAATTCCATTATTCAAATACAAATGTTAATGTAATGTAAACAATATACGTATTTGAACTCACGAAAGAAATCCACAAATAAAAGGTAGGCCTGATGATTCGCCGGTACTTTTCTTTTTTATGTACTTACGACATATAATTCTGGAAATAAATATCTGTATACGATTTTTTCCATTGATACTTATTATGTATATTATGAGGACTTACACCCCAGACAAAAATTGTAAAACCGTACTGACTACTGCTGTAGACTCTAGTAGCACATCGTATGTGGGAAGCGGCATATTTAGCTGTTTTCTAAGTATCTAATTTGTACTCATGAATTTTAATTAATTGTGTTTATTTTAGTTAACTTCTTATAAACAATATAAGATGTTTTTAGACCTCAATTTGTTTTTCAAAAAAATGAAAGATAATACATTTTAAATTAAAAACAAAATTTGTTTGGCTTTACGATTGCTATAAGACTATTTTTTCCAAACCAATAGCTACGTCAACTGTTTTTATTTTGCTTTCAATTTAATTTTGACATTGAAGTATTTATTTCCCGATTTTGTTGTGTTCAGAGAAGAATATGGGATCAAAACACAACATATAAAAATTATCAGCTGTCTTGGGAGAATGCGCATAATATGCAGAAGAAAAAATTGTATTATTTTTGGAAAACTTGTTAAAAGTTATAAATGTTTTATAGCATATGAAGAAGTTAACATTTAATGTGGACATTATACAGTAAAGGGGGCAAGGCAGTAAATACTGAAATTTTATTTCTTCAAAAGTAAACAAAACAACAAAACAATTAAGGGTAATAGTCGTAAATTTATAAAACTTTTAAATTACATATATATGTAATTATTTTATAATCCCGGTGTCGTAGTAATCATGGATAATATGTGACAGTACCATCGGAATTGTGTTCGGTGCGATTTATTAACCATATGTTTGAGATAAATCGGTACTTCATAAAATGGATGTAAATATGTCGATGCAAAAAATATGCTAATAATGTGTGAGTAAATTTATAAGGTGTATACATATGTATATTAGTAGCAGAGTAAATGTTTATTTTGTATTGCTTTTAGAGAACGATATCCACAAAAAGTAATGATAAGTGTTCTCTTAATGATTTCACCCTTGAACAGTATAGAAAAAGAATAGTTCTCTCCGATAATTGGAAAGCGCTACACGTGGTAGCAAAAGAATATAAGTACAATACTGGGTAGTGTTTACAAAGAGCCGCAACAGCTAAGCTACCGAATGCGATAGGAATGCTAGATTTTCTCTGATATGAGCTCATTATGAACAAGGCCCAATTAACAGCAGAGAATATATAACCAGTTCTCTGCTGGTATAAAAAATAAATTTTGAGACGCTCTCATACCAGAACAAGTTCGATATTCCTTTATCACTGACTGGCAGTATGACTATAAGCTCCCTTGGTGAACAATCTTTTCGCGGATTAAATCGTGAATATATAAGTATAAAAATTACGTATCAGTTCCCTAATTTTTGGGGAAAAAAGTGATTTTAAACAGATTTCCTATGCAAATGAAAATAGAAAATCTATAAACGTAAATGTTCATAACAAAATAATTCTGCTTACAACTTTGAAATTATATATGTATGTACCTATTGCTGGCATATGTCCAAAGAGGAGATAAAACAAAGAAAACAAATATCGCACGCTTTTTACAATTCGCAATTACCAATAAACGCATTACAAAATAAAACATCGCACTTGCATGCTTGCGTTAATAAAATAAACATAAAAAATGGAGTTGCATATGACTACACAAAGTGAACCTCTGCATCGTCTAGATGGTGAACAACAAACAAGGAAATTTGGTGTGACCCACGGCACTAAGGTACCACTTCATGAGGCTTCGGAAGTGCTAAAGGTATACTATTTATATGGCAGTGTTCTTTTAAGGTCAAGTACATTAATCTCTGTAGGCAAAAGTTGTTTTGGGAGGAGATGTTCAAAATATGCATGCAATGTGAACCTTGTACCTGTTTTTGGTTCTAAATTGCTTCTCATCTGCTCTTTAAAAAATATTTGCGTACATTTGTGCTTAAAGTTGAAGCACTCATTTTTCTAATAACTTTCGTTTTGTTAAATGCAAACATTCAATGTTTATAAAGGATGTGATTATAAAGAATATTAGAATATATATGTTAAAAAAATTGGACGTTATATTGTGTTATTTAATTACACCTAATGTATTTAAAGGAACGTATTTCCTAATTAACTAAAAGTTGCCTAGAAAAATTAAGGACCCTATTAACGATGCTCTTATCAGTTAGCATACCATAACGCAGCCAAATCGAAGCTCAACTAGTATATAAGTTAAAAATATAATTCCATTATTCAGATAAAAATATTAATGCAAAGTAACCTCACTCATTTTTGGAAATTTATTGGGGATTGAACGAAACACGATATAATATGGATAATGCGTTAAAACAAAATTTAAATGTTGGCTATAACTGGGTTATATCTGATAACAGAACCTTAAAATGTTGGACATATTTATGTAGTTATATGTATGTAATTTGAAGTAGTCAATTGTAATCAATAAATTTCGAATTTTTGATGATACCTTATTTTGCATTTTAGGTGAAGTTTGTGTATTTAAAGACACGAAAGAAATCCACAAATAACCTAAGTTATCTGAGAGAAATGAATTACTAAAACGAATGACTTAAAGAAAACTTAAGTTGACTAAATACCAAACATTGTTTATTATTAATTTTTTATAACTTCCTGCTTTTATGTTTTTGTTCCTAAATACTTTTCACCTTTTATTCAAAAAAATGTATACATATGTACGTACATATACATATATTTTATTTTCAACCTCATAAAAGATTTTAATTTTTAACTGATTACGAAGTACTTTGATAACTTTTATGACATTTCTAGCGATGCAATTTTTCACATCGGCGAAACACATGCATACATATGTTAATATATTAGAAGAAAAATAAATTTTATTGTAAAGAAATGGTTACAAATAAATTATTTGAAGTATTGCTCATCGTTATTTAAAACTTTTTCCCATCTTTTTTGGCAAAGCCCGAATAATATTACGGTAAAACTTCATATATGGTGTCCACGAATCAAGCCATTTTTCGATGTCGTGAGTGAAATTGCTTCTGAGCCAGACCTTGTGACGGTACAATATCTGAGGAATATGGCGGGTGGGTTAGGACTTCTCAAGTAAGTGTTTTCTGGTAGGTCTTAGCCTGTTTGGCAACCTGAGGCAACTTGCTTCTCCTGGTATTGAGGTCATTAGGAATTCAAGTTCCTTGTGCCTGAATCATTCCCAGGGCATGTAGTCGCCTTGAAATGATTTGACGGGTGCGTCCCAACGCTGAAGCAAGCACGGATTCTCATCAAAGAATGTCTCACCGTCTTATAAGGTTTTTGGCCTTCCTTCACTCGGAAGGTCGTTAATTTTTTGCGTATGGCAAGGTTACCAATCAAGCAACGTCACACCGTCTTCTAAGGGTTTTGGCCTTCCTATTCGCTCAATATCTAAATCGACGTCTATGAAGCGACGAAACCAATTACGGCACGTAGTTTCACCTGGGGCAGCACCTCCGTAAACTGTTTGGAGCCCCCGATATGATGTGCTTCACACGACGATTTCTTTGATTAAAAGAAGAAAATCAACACTTCCCGCAAATGACGATTATTTGGGAAAAGCGGATATATTGACACAATCATATATGACATAGGAACAAAAATCACTAACAGAAATGCACTATTATACATCTAGCTTAATAATTGAACATGAATATATGTACGTATGTTTTGCTGCTGTAGTTCTGTATGTTTCCGATTTATAATCTTAACAATTTATCGTGGATGTTATCATTACTGCACAATAATTAATCAACATCGAGATAACCCCAAATTACCTACGCAAGAGCCTCCTGTTAAGAAAACGTTTGAATTATTAAATTATTCAAAAAATTATAATTAAGTTAAATCTGTTATGCGCTCTTGCGCTTAGTGAAATTAATGATGCTACTTTAACCTCATATATGTATGTACGTTCTAAAATATTTGTATTTTTGTGAAAGACAATTTTGATCGAATCAAAAATAATCAATAATAATAATATGCACAACATATGTATGTATCTATGTATATAAAATATTATTAAAAATGCGTAAACTAAAATCACGATTAAATTATTAAAGGTTATGAGAGATTGCTTGCAATAAATATTTGTATATTAATGAATAAAATTTTGAGAAATACGGTGCACACAGATTCTGCAAATGGATGTACCATATGTTATACATATGTACATATAAGGGTGATATAGATTTGATTTGAATTTAAAAATCTCCATTACGATGTAATTCTCAGTTTTTACGGAACAAACTACTTTTGGGTACACAAAGAGCTTTACTTTTGGCGTGTTCACAATTACATATAGCAAATATATCTATTTCGATATGTCCATACGGACTTTATTTTCCAATATTCATAAACAATGTGTTCTATATGTAAATAAATATGTAAAAATTGTAAAATTTGCTAAACAGAATGCTAAATTAAGGAAATTATTGATTCCGAATATTGGAAAGAGACTTAGTTATACTTTTAATTCTTATATAAATATAAACTTTATGTACTTGTAGAAACCACAATGGAGCGCTATGTTAGCACTGGTGGGATTCGCTACTACTTTCGGGGCTGCGGTTCCGGTGGGTTACTGTATAGGTGTTATCAATGCTCCAGCATCGGTAAGTTAATATTTATGTTTATTAGTGTAATTTTATTTTTTCTTTTCAATTTATGTTGCTTTCCTATTATTATTTTAAATTTTTTTGTGCAGCTTATAAAAGTTTGGTGTAATGAGACTATACACCATCGATTCGGTTCTAATCTGAGTGCTTCAGGTTTAGATTTACTCTGGTCATCTGTAGTATCAATTTTCCTGATAGGCGGAGCGGTCGGCTCGCTTGGAGGAGCTAAGGCAGCCAATAAATTTGGCAGGTTAGTTGCTTACCAATAGATTTGCTAATAACAATGAAAAGAATCGAATAATAAAGTAGTAAAAATGGGAGTAGTAACAACATTATATTTCCTTACATCGGTATAAATTTCTCCTGACCACTTCTTGTTTATATTTGGCGTCCTTACTCATAATTAAAATTTCCATTTTAATTTACTAGTAGTTAACATAAAAACTTTGTAGGGGTGGATCATGAATTTTAGATTTTAATTTATTTTTGAAAAATACAATTATTGAGGCTTGGAGGTACTGCTAGATTTCTCGCTTACAGTATCATATTATCGAATTTTGTGTTATGTTTTCTTTAATTTTTTAAGTTTGTATATTAAACTAAATAACTCTTTTTATTTCAGGAAAGGTTGTTTGCTTATAAGTGGTGGACTTTTTACGTTGGGTGCAATCCTTTTCTTTTTCTGTCGGGTTGCTGGCTCCGTAGAAATGCTTTTACTTGGTCGTTTGATAGTCGGTCTTGCATCTGGTCTGACCACAGCCGTACTACCAATGTACCTTACAGAGATTGCACCACTAGCCTTACGCGGAACCTTTGGTGTCTTTTGCTCTATGGGTGTAACCGGTGGCGTTGTGGTTGGACAAGTGTTTAGTTTGCGCCATATTTTCGGCACCGACCAGCTCTGGCATTATGCTCTAAGTTTTTACATCATTTTAGTGGCTGTATGCTTCCTGCCTGCTTACTATTTTCCAGAGAGCCCAAAGTACCTTTACATAGTGCGCAACGATCAGGAGCTGGCTCGATCTGAACTTCGTCGTCTATGCAAAGGACCCAATGCGGCCCTCGTAATTAAGCATGAAATTGAAGAGATGGATGCAGAAATGAGTACTAAAGTACAAACAAGCAGTTTCTTTTCGGTGCTAAAAGATCCGACATTATTGTTGCCATTAATCATTGTTTGCTCTTTTCATGGTGGTCAACAATTATCTGGAATTAATGCTGTAAGAAATAAATAATTAAAAAATTTAATGAATCAGCTCACTAATAAGTAGTGTATAATTTTCAACAGATATTCTATTATTCAGTATCCATATTTAAAAAAGCCGGTCTTTCCACAACTGATGCGGAATGGGCGAATTTGGGCGCTGGTTGTCTGAATTTGCTTGTGGCCTTTTTGGGACCTATGCTGATGTCTAAGCTAAATCGTCGCCCATTGATGATGTTTTCCAGCGGAATTTGTTCTTTCTTCCTCTTCGCTATCGCTTTTGTTTTATATTACATAGTAAGTTTATGAAGATTGCCAATGCAAATTTGAGGATGTGTAATTGAATAAACTCATTTTTATTACAGGATACCTCAAGTTGGTTTCCCATACTGTGTATTGTGGGTATTATGGGATACATCTTCTTTTATCAATTAGGTTTGGGACCTATACCATACTTCATTGGTTCAGGTGTGTATTAATGTACTTTTTGCATGTGTGTATGACTATTAACAGTTTCTTTACAAAATGAATTTATGCACATACACGTATATATATTATATATGTATATTGCATTTTAATTGAATCACTAAAAGGCAATGAGTGTTTACCCACAAGCCATCTCAAACAATAACGTGTGAAGACATTCGATACGACAGCACAGTTTCAGTAATGGAATTAAGTTATTGACCTAAAGAGTAAGGCGTTTGGTGTTAAGTTTATTTTTAATTGAATTCAATTGGATCGCCTGCATTGTTTTTACAGCCTTTAAATTCACGTGATTTAATTTTAACGAAGTCACGCTTTATTTTTTGTTGCCTATGGATGAAGAAATGTGAGTCAATTTGTGTGACCATTCATGCAAACGATGTTTTCCGAGAAGAAAATTTAATTGCTTTCCGAATGATTCAATTTTATAATTTGTCTGTAGACATTGTGCTCAACACAATTGTTTTAAAGCAGGTCTTAATAAAAACTATGTACATAATTGTGTCCGACTGTACAGAAATAGCGTATAAAGTAAATTTAGAACATAATAGATTTAGTAAATATTAGAGGACCCGCCCACGCTTCACTGTGGCTGATACATAGATAATACTACTACTACCATCTATATGATTTATATTAGTTAGATTATTACTATTAGTTAATGCGATATTGTATTTTTGTGAAGCAACTTGTGTTAGTTTACAAAAAAAAAAATGGATTATAAAGCATTTCGTGTGTTAATAAAGCATTGCTGTTTGGGGGGTAATGCTGTTAAATTTGGGCTGAGGGAAATCCGCCGATGAAAGATATTATATTTGCTAAGCTGGAAGCAGGCAAAATGAGCACCGAGGACAATGATGCTCTAAAGAGTCGAAAGCTCTGTGCAAGTGGGTGCCTCGCAAGTTCATAATCCAACAAAAGCAATGAATATCTGATTCTGAGAAGTGTTTGAGTGCTCTTTAATTGTAATAAAACCGAATTTTTGTTTTGGTGTGTGACAACAGAAACATAGCTCCATCATTTCCCACTGGAGTTCAATCGACAGTCATTCTAGTGAACTGCACATGATGAACCGATTCTGAGGCGTGGAAGGACGAAAAAATCGACTCGAAAGGTCATGACATCAGTCTTTTGGAATGCACGTGGTATAATACATACTCAACGACTGATTATTGAGCCAGTTATAGTCTATTTCACTGCGTATTTGGTTGCAGTTCTTTTCTATTATACCAAATATTTTGCAATTTAATTATTTTGGAGTAAGAATCTGTTTAAAATTGTACGCATATATTCAAATGATTCCTACAAACATGAATTTTGAACAAGTGCTTATTATTTGAAATAAATTTGTTTATTTATGAGTTGTATAATATTAAATTTTGACATGAAGAGATAAAAAGTATCCTATGTCCTTACCCGGGTTCTAAGCTACCTCTCCACCACTTTCAGCCAAATCAGTTCAGCCGTTCTTGAATTATAGTATAAATGGTGTAACTAACACAACTTTCTTCTATAGTAAATAAAATTTAGGTGCAGAAACTGAATAGTTTGAAACACAATGCCACATTATTCGCCATCTTTCTAAAACCCGAAAACCTTTTTCATGCGTAATGAGCTGAAATCATTATTCAATTAACGTTGATAACTTGTATACTATAAGTTCAGTCGAGAAAAATTCTCTCGTGATTTGGTGGCATTTCTGCCTTCATTCTGTCAATTACATAATTACCCTAAACCTAAACTAACCATTGAATTATGTTTAATTTCATCAAATATTATATATTTATTTCGTTCTAACAGAGATCTTCGAAGTCGCACCTCGCTCGGTGGCCATGTCGATGGGCAGCTTATCTTCTTGGACGTGCAATTTTACTGTTGGTATGGCCTTTCCATCGTTACAGAACGCCTGGGGCGCTTTCGTATTCCTGCCATTCTCGGCGACATGTCTACTGCTCTTCCTGCTAACGAAATTCTATTTACCAGAAACACGTGGACGGGATCCGTCTGAAGTAGCGCCGCTGGTGGCCAAGGGTTTTCGCTCCAAGGTGAAATAAGTCATGGACGCTGTTGGCGCGCTCATATTGATAAATAAACTGATATACATCTTGGTTTTAAATTTGATAAGTAGGCAAATTTTTTCGTGCATAGATTCTTGTAATATAAATGTATATATGGCGCACAATTTTTTAGGTAACGGTGTTATGATTTAATAAACTATAATTTTTTAAAGGACAAACACGTTTGAAAATATTTGGGCAAATTCTACAAATCTGCAAATAATGTAAAGACCCTGTTAATATGTACCAAACATGCAGAAAGTTCGTATCGTATTAAAGAAGAACACAGTTGCCATCAAGGCGGATAACCAATTATGGCGACATTCCAATTTTACCCCATTTGCTATACGATTTGGCTCTTACTTCAAGAATATTTCTTCATTATCACTAAATTTCTTACCAAAAAGCACGCTCCTAAGCTGTGGGAAAGGAAAAATTACAATGAGTGTCGATTGGACACGGGAGAATGATGATCAAAAAAGTGAAAATCTAAGCTTACTTATAGACATTATATAAACATAGGTACATATTATGTAAGCTAATAATGGCTAAGCTAAAATATTTTAACGTAAATGTGCAAATTTTCATAACTTCTTGCCGATATGAGTAGATGTAAGTATATGGGTATGTATGTACATATATGTGAGTACGGATGAGAGTGTTGTGTATGGATGTACTAAATGCTCCAATTGGAGTAAAAGAGTGGAGGCTTATCCGAAAAAAAATTAAGCATTTATTGTACATTTTGAAATCTCTTGCAATTAAATGGTTGGTCAAATCGAGACTTTCAAGAGAACATCTCTCATGTTGGGCAGCAAAATTCATATAGGTACTCCATTATAAACATCCATATTGTTATATTATTATATTAAATATACCGTTTTATATTTCTTATTCAGAACACATTATTATTATTACTAAGGAGCGCTAATCATTTTAATTAGCAAGTGTCAGTCGCTATTTTTCACGGAAGCGTCAGCGTCGGCGCCTTTTTCTCCATATATAGATTCATATCGTCACCTGAAATGCAAAATAACGTATCATTACTACGATTCACTACTTCAAATTACATACATAATATTACATACATACATTTGCTCAACATTTTCAGGTTCTGCGCTCAGATATAAACCAGTTGTAACCAATAATAAAACTTCTGTTCACTCATGTTTCATTTTATTTCGGGTTCATTCAAGCCACTGTAAATTTTCGAAAATGTTGTTACGTTATTTTGTATTTCAGGTGACGATATGTAGATAATAGAAATTGGATCTGCTGACTCGTATATTTGTAAGAGACACTGGTAAACTAGAAGTTTTAGCTGGTTTTCATAGGAGGGCCGAAAGAAGCATAAGCAAGTGTAATTGGTACCGTTGAAAGTTTCATATTTACATCTCCATACTCATATGCACATGTATTAAATACATTGTTTGATGCTATGGATATACTTATAATATTTTCCCGGCATTCTTTTAGGCGTAGTAAAATTCTATGCTGCCGAACCGGAATTCGTTTCGATGATCGTTAGGTAGTCACTTCTGACATTCCTGTTATGAGGGTAAAGCAAGAAAAAAATCATGAACTTAGGCTGCACCGAAGCTACAATACGCTTCACAAATAAAATAGTTTCCATACAAGAAGAAACATTTGGTTTAAATAGGTCAGTCTGTATCACAGCTACGTGTGTAAAATTTCAGATCAATATGGACATGTAAAAATCGACTCAGCTCGTCATCCTTACATTGAGCCCTTACGCGCGCAACGTCATAACGAAAATATAAGAAATTCAATTACTTGCTATCCTCGGAATATATTGCATAGATTATATGTATGTATATGTTATTTTTGTTCACATAACGGTCATTCGCAACCTCAAAACAAGATACATATTAGAATGTTTATACATATAAACAAGTAAAAAAGGGCTAAGTTATCGTGTACCAGAACATTTTATACTCTTATAACTTGCAAGAATCAACGCCAGGGAAATACTAAGATGTAAAACGTCAACCAGAGAATCGGAATCTAAACAATTTTATATATAAATATATACTTAATATAACTCATACACTGACTGACAAATTCGCCATAAGATTTGTCAGAAAAACAAAAATCATTAAATATAGTATATGGGAGTTGGTGTAGTAATGATCCGATTTTATCTATGAACTACTGTAATTTTCGATTAATTTCCACGCACTCACCGTTCTTAATTTTATCAAAAGGGAAAAAACACAAGAATTCCGCAAAAATTTCACAATTGGTTTTTATTGAAAAATAGTAGGAGTTCAGATATCTAACACAACTTTGAAGTTTAGATGTTTAATATATGTAAGTGTTAAAAAACTGGATATTCGCACAAAGTTGTAAACGTTGGAGCTCGGGTTGAATTGCACGGCTCTATCAGCGGATCACAAAAATGGAAGAACCCATGAACTTGTTTCTACGCCCCTTTTGTTCCCTTTTGGTTGTGGTGAAAAATGCAGTGGTAGTGTAGTTATATGTGATGTGGATTGTAGGTGGTGTAGAGATGAGTGTGGTGAATAAAGCGTGCTAGTGACGTATGTTTTAATGCGGTGAGTGTAGAGTGTTCTGGATGCGGGATTATTGCTGTGGTTAAGTGTTGGTGTTGGTTATATATGTTGTGTAGGGCAGGAGACTGAAGCTCATTTAGCCAATTACTATCATACTACATAATAAAAAATAGTCCCTGAGTTTCATTAAGGTCATATATGTACATACCATAACCAATCATATGGACTAAAGTCGAATATCCTGGTAATAGTTATATGGGGTCTAGATCGAGTTTTCGCCTTTTTATCTATTTTAGGCACAGAGATATACTGCCGTGAACAAAACATATTCTGTAGGTTTCATTGAGATAACTCAAATTTTGTTTCAACAAATAAAATTCAACAATAGAAGTATATATATACCAAATATTCGGTACCTAGGGGCTTGAAAATTTTTGGTTAAATTTGAAAAATTTTTCTATCATACAATGGCATACACGAAAGGAATTATTTGTACAAAGTTTTATCCCGTTATATTAATTGCTTCTGTCTGCCATATGCAAAGAAGGCGTGGTTGTGGTCCAATTTCGCTCATTTTCGTTCTACAACATAGGAATTTGAGAAGAATGTTACGCATTAAGCCCACTCATACCACCTCAGAGGTAAAATGTAGGGTCTCCGGCGAGTGAGCGGTGTTATCTTCCCATTTCATCCATTTTTACACTGTCAGCGGGAGTTGTTATTATATTAGAGCAGAGCAAAATTTGGTCGTTATAGCTTTAGTGGTTTGGGGGATATTTACATTAATATAGTGACAATGTGAAGAACATTTGGGTGGAAATAAACCAAATCTTCATAGCCGCTGTTCAATTTTTGGGGCCGTTTGCGATGTTGGCTGCGGGAGGAAGCGGCATAACACACAGACTTTGTACAAGCATTGTTATTCAGGTTACGGTAAGCTGGTCATATTACTCGCGCCGATGAAAACTATCTTCCTAAGCAAATTCGACTTGACAGATGCAGGAATACATAGCAAAAGCAAAGGGAGACCAAAACTTAGCTGGATTGATAGTGTGGTTCAGAATGCCGAAGCGCTGGAATTACGATACTGGCGAACTCAAGTAAAGAATAGAAATAATTGGGGCACCGAGTTGTGGAGCTGATGACATTGCAATCTTAATTATGTTGTTCGGCAATATATACTAGTACAATTTAACAATTAACCCACACAACTTACAATTGGCACAAACGTGCAAGATGTGTTAGCTATTTTAAGTTCTCTTTGTCACGATCCTCTAATATGATTAATCTACTTACATACATACGAGTACTTTTTTTATTATTATTACAGCTATTTCAACCAAACTCGGTGATGAAACATTGCCAATCCATAACATATTTTCACCAAACTTAGGTCAGAGCCATATTACAAAGATAAATTTAACAATAAACAAAAACATTATTTTGAAGTTTTATTTACAAATACATGTATGTATGTATGTATGCTCTTATGACACTGACATAATCGGCCGCCAGAACTTGGATTAAAGTGGAACGAAAATAGACCTATGTTAAGTAGATAGTTTAGCTGAAAATCAACACATGGGTGCATCTCCGGAGTGCCGATAAAACTCAACTACTAGCAAATACACAGAGTAGACCCATTCGCAACAGTAAATACATTCGTATAAACGAGAATGTTTTCCAAATTTGAATTATTAGCATGATCTGCTAGATACGCATACATATGTACATATACACGTCAATATACGCTATATACGGATATATGTATGTAGGTACAAACATATTAACATATCAATACGTGTATATACGAAGCTTGCACCGTATAATATTCGTAAATGTTAACTAACAATAGTAATAAGTAAACAATCGTGAGATATTAGTTATTACGTGCGGATCGGCCGAAGCTGGTACTGGGTACTCGGTACTCGTATATAAGCGCACCGGTCGTATTTAACGCTGAACAGAACTTACTGGCGCGCGAATCAGAAAGAGCTCACAGGTTGACAGAATTGAATCAGTTTATTAAAAAGCAAAAACAACAACAAAAACGAAAACGAAAGCGCGGAAATATATAAAAAAAAATTAAAAAAAAACAACCTGTGTACAGTGCACCGATTGTCAACATAAAAAGGTGATTGGAACGCGCGTCAATCGCATTCATATCTCGGAAGTGCAGTGAACAATACCTAAAATCGAGCAATAGAAAAACTGATATGAATCTATTCATGCCGCAAGTGAACATAATGTAAAAAGTCATAAATACACAAATAAAAAATATCCAGATAAAAAAGTGTTACCTTATTAAACATAATAATAGTGAATAAAAATACCGCCAACTGCAAAAGTGATTAAATCTGAAGTACTACTAGGTGATAAGAGCTTATGAAACAGTGAAGTTGTCCAAAGGAAACACCCAACCAGCACAGAGCAACAGCCAGCAAAAATGGATAGCAAATTGGAGAAAAATGAGGACGATGTAAGTGCCAGGATCAGTTTGCG